ACATATTTGCGAAAACGGACGAACGAGTGAGGCAGTAAGAAAAGAGAAAGAAAGACGGTGAGTGAACAAGCCTATTAATAAATGACTTTCCTCCATCGTACCCCCGCCATGTCGCTGCGTGCAGTTACCTTTGCCAAGGCTACCTGAACACTACGTTTCTATCTACCACCGCCGCCGTCATCGTCATCGTCATCGTCATCGTCACGTGCTGCTACGAGTACTTTTCGGATGTAATGCTGCGACGCTGCAGTTCACTCAGTGGAATTCTTCCTGATTCTGTTCGCTCCGTATCAGTGAGGGACCGTTATACATGAAATTTGTAGATATATGCGGACGTTACGAGAAAGGCTCCTCGTCTGGGTGAAGAAGAAAGCTGGTTATAGTAGCGTGTTGGGGAGGCAGCTCCCGACTGAGCTCAGCAGAAATCGGCAAGGTTGATACACAAGGCTGACAGATGTTTCATGCACAAGTCTACAACGAGAACCAAGGAAAATAATAGAATTAGTATGAGTTTTTATGATTCTACTCTGTATAGTGGAGTTCTCTTGCTTCGAATGCTTTTTACACTTGGTAGACGTCATGTTTGTAATGGCGCTGCGCACGTTATCTTCACGAAACCGTTTGTCACTTACATTCAGTATGGATTAGAACGTGTATGTTTACGATGGTTATGAATTAAACTATATGAAGTATACCTTCTCTATGTCTATATGAAATGCATACATATATATCACAGTAAAGCCGCGGCTTTGTTTAGTTTAGCAGCATTCGTTATACGATTTATATATAGGTTTTCGTATGATTGATGTTAACGGGCCAATACTTTTATACGCCTAGTTTTTGTGCTGCGACAAGCATCCACGCTCACCTGATCACTTCCGCAGACCGCACATATTTATATACATGCGTACGCCCACCTAATATGATTGTTTCCCTTGTCATTCGTTGTTAGGACAGCATCCCAGTGATAGCAATGTGCTTAGCTCAAATAGTGCGACCTAGCGCTGGCTGGCCTCCTGCCTCTCTCAATGACGCGTTGCCTCACGACCGTGTCAAGGTCACCCCGATTAACGGAGCGTTATTATTACTACCACGACCAATGGAACTACCATTACGGCCACGAGCGTTCTCTGGCTTTTCGTCATCGTCGTGCTATCTACAGCCGGCTTTAATTGGAGTAGTTCAATATGTTACCCTGTCATATGATTATGAAATGTGCCGTTCGTGATACGTATGCGTGTTCTGTGTGTGTGAGCCTCTCTGTGTTTACGATTGCTTCGGCTGGGGTGCGGTTTGCGATGATAAACCAGTATATTATTCGGGGGGAGGGGGGCATACGTCAGAAACCTCTTTGGTATTTGTACGCCTAGTTCTTTTGCACAGGTGACTATCTGATGTCTGGCAGTTGTCTATGAAACGTTTTAACTAGGAAATGCTCACGACTTCTATGTCGCGTACTTGCCGTCGGCGTTAGTTCAGACCGTCCGCGCGGTATTTGTACCGGCTACGAATCCATCATCCTTTTGAGATGTATAAGTAAACATGTTATCACTGCATCGTCACGAGCACGCTCATTTTTTCACTCTGTTGAAATCAGTAAACAATTGTGTATACATTGTTGAGTAATATTTCTGTCAAGTTCGTTCAGTTTGCATTATACTAACTATCATTTGAACGGATTTAACGCTCTAAATTTTAATAAATAAAAGAAAGGCCACGCAATCAAGGGCTTGGCGTCAACTATCTGACATGTGAAGTACGGCAGCGCATTAGCGGGCACGACACCCATATAGGTATAATCGGCAGACAAGCGACCTCTACCTTCGTACCAAGGCATCGCAATCATCGAAAACGCTCGCTTGTCTCATTGCCAACTACTACGATGCTTGTCATCTGGCCGCCCGATACCTATATACATGTATATATATAACCCGCTTTTATGCCTTATCTCCGACTTCACTTGAGTAATTTCAGCTTGTTCGATGACCCGGCTATGCCCCCTCATCGGGCTTCGATGACTTCATTCGAAAGTACTGTGTTGCCCATTCATCTGACGATGTAAAGCGCCAACGACAAAAGCCTTCGAGACTTAATCGGTTGCTTGATCTCTATGGCTTCATTGCTGAAAGACCTAAATGGGCAGATTAACAGTTACGAGAAAAGCGGAGCACATGCTCCTACCTTCGGTATCAGATCTGTTCTGTACGGATATTGTATCGCTTTACGGCGGAAGATGTGTCTATTCGTTTCTCTCTGGGCTTTGTTACGTGTACCATGTTTTTCATTTGATGTATCAAACGGGTAACTAGTTATGCGTTGATGACGATCTGCTTTTAAAATCAGCTTGCAGTGAAATATATAGATGTGTGCATAGTATAATAAAATCTGACTTCACGAAGTAATATTCTTTCATTGTTTTTGTTTCAGGTAAGCTCTACGGCATCCATGAACGAGGCGCTGCACACTTCAAAACCGAAAAGCTTCGTTTATCAACTTGTGCCTTACTTTCCTTTCGTTATTCTCGTTATTCAATTTGTTCTTTTACCTCCTGTTTGACCTTGAAAGTATCCGTTTTGTCATGCTGTTTTAGTTGTTGTCAATGATGTTATTGTTGTTGGTAAGTTAGCCCCTTGGCACTAACACTTGGCGGCATCACTCGGCTCCACCAACAACATCCGATGCCACTGAGGACGTAGTGGCAGCTCGAAGACGGACGGCCCATTTCGCCTTGTTGCCGCCCTAAAAGCCGGCCTCTGTTAACGCTCTCTGTCAACCACCCACTGAGATGGCACAGAAGCCGACTCAGTGGACGTTCTCCATTTGTCTCAACGTAATAGTGTCGCGACGCGCTGGTCGAGCATTATCTTCATCTATTACCCACCTTGCTCGAATTTTCCTTCTTTTTTTTTTGCCCTTCAGGCTCGACTCAACATAGATCGTCTATTTTCAAAACTGGATTATGTCATCTGACGCAGCTGACTGTGGTTACAATAAATGTTCATCCATGTACCTATTAATATCGTTATTCGAACCATATGCGTTCAATAACTATTAGCGATTATAATTGGTAATAGTATTGTCATACACCTTACTTTACGAGCCTTTTTTTTTGATCCCAGAAGGCGTTTCAGGCACATGACATTATATTATACATATATAGACATAAGAAAAATGCAAGGTGGATTATCTATATTGAAGATTTCTTTATAGCAACTACAGTCGTTCGTCTGTGCATCTGTTCAGCTTTCTAGGCAAAATAAGCTAGCGCATGAGGTAGGACGAATTGCCAACACATCTCCAATAGTTAACAACATAGCCTATCGCAACGTGAACATGCATATATGGGGATGCTTTGTTTCAGATAGTAGGCAACCAGGGATCCCCCTGGTTGCCTACTATCTGGGGAAAACGGGACAAGCAGTGTTTTTAGGCAAACGCAGCCGTCCATAGCCTTACCGGGTAATGTATATTTTTGTTCCTAGCTTCGTCGATCCGCAACGCAAATTGTACGTTGTAATTACTGATCTCAAGGCATACGAAACCGTTGTAGGCATTCCGTCGCTGTTTTTGGTGCCTTTAGATTACGTTATCTACAGTGCGAAGCAGTTCCGAATGGCCGATCACCTCGTCCTTGAATACGAATGATGGCCCAATATATAAAGTCTACGGAACGGCCATTGGAGCCATTTGCTGTAACGGGCCGATTTCACAGCAAGAACTGCTCGCTAGAGTGCGGGTTCGAGGCTAGGTTTCTTACCGCATACAGCTGTGCTGTCAGCTAGCGTTAAATATCCATCGATTGTTAATCGCTATAGGATCGTACCGGATCAAACTGAAACTGTCCGCCGATGTAGCGCAGCTATTGCTAAAAATACTACCTGCGCCTGCTTGCTTATACGATTAACACGAGAAGAAGCCAGTACGGAAACATAGTCCCCTGAATTGCCAATGACGACTGCGATAGACACGCCATTATCGAAATCAATACCTCGTCCCATTTTCGCGTTGCTACTTCACCAATACACCGCCACTTCTCCCGACACTCGAGGAGTCTCAACGTTATCCGTAATGGCAGAAGCTCACACCTTGTTGAAAGATTGTTCGCCAATCGTTTCGCTTGCTCGGTGTCAACAGTAAAAAATGCTAAGGTCGCGTTCGATGTCGTCCGACAGCCGGCCGATTCTCCCTTCCTTTCACGTCAGATCCCAGCTTACCCCGAACATCAGGACCAATATCCTGTGTAGTATTTTCGTCCTCTCTTCGTTCTTCTTTTTCTCTTCTGCGTTATCGCCGTATATCCTTTCTAATACGCCCATGTTGTTATCCATGCAGTACTATCCACATACATATCTATCTGTCCTATGTTTCCCCCTAACAGCGTAACAAATAAATAAAGCTGACAGGATTCCATCCGTGTGTCTCCCGAGTCACAACTGCTGTGTTTCGTTTTCCGCCTCTACTTCAATTCGATGACCATTCAGACTGCGATCTTCACAGATCCATGGTACTGGCCCATTGATACTGAATAGCGCGGATTGCGTACAGCACCTTAGTTCTAGGTATCTGACTGGTCAATATGGACAACAGGTTGCCTCAAAGCCTTTAGGTCAAGTCAATAAGAAGCAAAATCGTTGTAAAAGGAGACAAGCAAAAGGACTCTGAGAAGATAGGAGAATAGTGCATATTCTGTTTCTGTTAGTTTTTCATTTCTCCGATTTTAATATTAGGACTCCAGCTTATGGTTCAGTTATTTTAATGGACGGTACTCTTCACACCTTTGTTAATACAGTTAGTATATACGTACTGCTAGCCATGTTGCATGGTTTACGCATATAATTCAATCGAACTTAGATTTACATAAAAAGCAAAACAGAGGTAAAACTATTAAATGGTTAGATGTGATAAGCAAAGCATTTAATAACGACTTTATAGAAGCATCGTCAGACTGGGGCCCAGAAACGTAATGAGTGGATCGTAATATTAAGCTCGACGGTACTGCTATGTCTGCGCAGTATTAACGCTATGGTGTCGCATACATATGTCGTTTTCACATTAGACAGTTGTTTCTGTTCCATGCAATGTAGAGATCGACAATGAGAGATAAACGTCCAGGTGTTTGAAGGGTTCTACTTTAGGACAATTTTAATTCCAACACATCGGGCACTGAAATATATAATTTTATTTTAAATATACCGGTCGTTCGTGTAAGTAGTCGCACGCTCTTTTGGCCAATCTCTTCGATTCGTTGGTCACCAATGCAACAGTTTCAAAAGCGGATTCAATAAACACTTTTAGCCTATCCAATTTTCAGTTGACTCTTACGCTTAATGATAAGGAGCAGTTTGTAGCGTTTGAAAATAACAATGATAAAAGTAGTAGCATAGTACCATTTTACGTATCTCGGTGCCCAGTTTTTTTGTGTTTATTCAAGAATTTCGTCATGACTGTTCGACTGAGCTATGCTTCTCTTAGCACTCCATTATAATGAGAGTTCAGCGTAGCACCCGCGTAGTTTTGGCCTTTGTAGGAACAACGACAGCGGCTCTGACGTGGGCGGGTTTGGCGTTACGAAAAAAAGTTCAGTTGCGGCGACGGCAAAGGCCGAAACGAAATCTCCCACGACCTACCGGGTAATCTTCTGCCATTTATGCCCCCCTACTGCCTGTTCAACCGGTCTTACCGCTTTCTCGAGTAGCGGTTGCTGCCGAGTATCTTTGCCGCTGCCGCCTCTGTTGCGCTATGGCTCTTGCCGCACAATACTGAAAAGGAGATCAGGATTAAACTTGGTTAGTAAATGAGCCAGCACTTCCGGACAAAGTCTTCGTCAACGCTAGCAGCAACGACAGCTGCACAGTCATTGCTGCAAAGAATAGAGTTGGAAGTGCGGAACAAACGCGAAATATCCAAAGTAGCATCATCTCAGTTGAACCTCGTGGTCTAGCGCAACAAGGCCTGGCTCAGGCTCCAACAAACGAGGTGTTTCCTTTGACTTATGCGGATGCCAAAAAAAAACTAACGGCAACCGCTAGTGCTGCTAGCACTATTACCATGAAAGCAAGCCAATGGCGGGAACAACGACGATAACTGCATGGGTCTTGGTAGAGACTTTTAAATAGCTTTTTGGTGCAGTACTGGGGACAGCACTTCTTAGCTTGCGTTCTCGTTCCTCCTTTGTGTTGAACTAAAGCTGTATAGTGTGTGCCTGCCGGCGTGTCAGGGAACTTTAACTGTAGACTCATCGGGGCCTTCATGCTGGCTAGGGCTCTCTGTTGAGTAAGGGTTGACAGCAGTCTCCATTATGGTTTTCTTCCGCTTGCATAATTTCGCCTGGACAACCTTTCCGGAGCTCAATTGTCGGGGAGACGCGCTTACAAGTCAGCACAGGACTCAGAACTAACTAAGCTCACTAGAAAACCGACTCCACCAACGACGTGAAGCGGGATACGACGTGGCTGGGCTACGCATAACGTGTGTGATTTCCTTACCGCAGTTCTTTAACCACTTTTGCGCCGACAATGAGAAGGGCATAACAACGACTCGGTGAGACAGATAGGGGGAACATGAATGTGTGGAAGTGCAAATAGGTTCTGTTGATCAACGTACATAGCGATATCGGCTTGTTCCGAGCTATCAATTATTGTGTTCCCATGTAGTGAACTGACACTGCTATTTTCCACTCGATATACCATTGAATTTGTTGTTTGTTTCATTCCACTTTTCTATCTATAATTTTATCTATATTAGCTGAAATGTTATCAGAATAATTACGTCGTCTCTTCCAATCAAACAGTCTCGCTTCATTTTATGCAACTTTTGGGAATGTATTTCTCTCTGGCGGCAGTGGGTTTGAAACAAAAATAGCAAGAAAGTTATGGAATTAGTTCATGACCTCTTTTCGGGTAGACATCTTCTCATATGAGTATTGAATTTATCGAGTCCCGGACCTGTTTCAATAGTGGCCTACAAGCACCTTTTTCCGTAATGTCTTTCATCCACTCTATATACTACGACTCTCCATGATAATAGAAGGTCAGGCGACTTCTGTATTCACCGTCTTTTTGTCTTTGCCTTCGCTTGTATACGTCATTGCTTTGTTTACCATTGGCCTTTTTAGCCGCTGATGTAAACCATCATAGACCTCCTGAAGTCTAGCTGTCTTTAGGAAATGTTACACTTCGCACCGCTCTAAGGCTGGTTTCCAAAGGGAGTTTGTAAATCATACGCATGAAAAAAATCCTACTCGAGGTGTAGTTAGGCAGAGAAAAAAGGAGAAATCGGCCACAAGCACCGACGGGCAGACAGATACTGACGTGAAGAGCCCTATTTCTCTACTAGTTGGTTCGTTCAAACAACAAACGTTTCGCCCGCCACTCCATCACTCAGCTCCTTTTGGATTGTTGTCTACTCTTGGTCTCGTTCTTCCACTTTCCGTCGGGGACTGAGTAAGCTCCGGCGTATACGATGGTAAGCGTGCGCGTCGACGTGTCTACCGTGTACGCCTGACTACTCACTCGAGCCCGTTCAGATACCCCCATGGCTCAGTTGGCCTGTCTGCATGTGAACTGATAGTGATAGTGCTAGTGCTCGTGTAGCCAGATGACCTTCTGTCTTTTATTGTCGGCGACTCTTTTGCCCTTTGTTGTGCCGTTGCCACTGCTATTGTTGCTCTTATTGATACCGCCGTTGTGTTCCTGGCAGTAGGACGGTCCCCTTTTCCTTATTTCTTCCTCATCTCAGGTTCGCACCCGGTATGTTCGCTGCCACTGATCGCTCTCTTCACTCTCTTTAACTCGGCCTTCCCCGTTCTCTGTCCATATCTTTCTCAATGTGCGTGTGCGTCTGTCACTCTGACCGTGTGCACTGCTTTGTTGACCTCTTCCCAGTATCATGTCCCATACTCTGGCGCTGTGCGCAACCCTAACCGGTAACTTCTATTACTATCGCTGCCGCCCCTCTGTTTCCGTGTGTCTTTCTCTTTTCCCTTCGGCTTTTGAGCCTTCCCCGTTTAATGTGACTTTTCCACTAGTAGACACATTAAGAGGTCGCTTTACATGCAGGCGTTATCACCCGAGAGAGAGAGAAGATAATTTTCCTCTTATTTTCTTGCAGCATTTACTGTAACATGCCTCGTCTGGCGTTACCTGCCAAACTATTGACGTCTCCGGCGCCTCTACAGCATGCGACCGTCCTACCCGGAAAGCTACACGCGCTTATTTCATTGACGATGCCGTTGCGGTCGTTTGACTTCTCCAACCAGTGTATACGGTCCTAGACGGAGCGGAGCAGAGAAGTGTGGAACGCTTTGGCTGTAAGGGCAGTCGTGGATATCTGCGCTGACACGTTTGTGGCGCAGGAGACATGGCATTGGAGGGTCCACTATACTAACGGTCTGCAAAATCGGTCACCATAGTATAGTTTATTTCATTAATATTCGTCATGGGGCAACTGATGTATTTTGATATGGCTTTACAAGCGTAGGTGAATGAGCACGTTACTTATTACCAGCTTCATGCAGCTGAGTAAATACTCGGCTGACATCACGCGAGAGACCATAGCACTTTCTAGTCGTTCTGTGTAATGTATATGTATATATTTTATTAGATTTTTGCAAATTTTCGACCTTTGGCCGCTATATAGATGGCGTCGCGTGGACGACAGCTTCAGCCTTATAGTCACTTCTCCCGCCGCGTTGGTTTGTCTTAAAAAACAAACATCCAGCGACTGTTGAAACACCGTGACTACATCGACATCGACAAAAACTGCATCGTATGCTCACTAGAGCCTGCGACGCAGATAGCGTTAATGCTCTGCAGAGACGAGTCGGCGACGCTGCCTATCTCGCTTTCCGTGGGTGAAAATAGAACGTACCGCCATTACTCGAGTATCAGTAGCATCAACTACATACATGGAGACATCCATCGGACACTGCTCCTCCCTCGGCCCTCGAATTATCAACAGCCGTTAACGGTCGTCGATCCGAGGTCGTTCCAATTGAGACTATCGCTATCCGTGGTACTGTCGCCGTTCAGGCCATCCACCTCGTCGAAGCGAAGCGTGGCATCAAATCACCGAACGTGGCCCACCTACGCGACCAGATATGTTACACAGATAATAGCGGTGGAGTATAAGCTTGGCTGTGGCGAGGACACGCACGATGGCTGAAGCAGATGTTTGCTGCTGCTGCTGCTGCCGCCGGTACTATGGCCTGCATATGCTAGTGGCTCGGCTTCTGCTATTAACGTATGAAAGGAATTGCCATTAAAAACAGATGGCGGTGGCCGTAATCTGCATTGCCGTGTAGGAGCGTTAAATTGCTTGAATGTTAGCAAATGAAACAATACCGCGATTAACTCAGGAACTTCTAGAGAGAGAGAGAGACGTGCTTTACCAGTGTCATATATATATACCTAATCTGTTCTATATCATCTGAGGTTGCTATTTAAAAGTTTCAGCTGAAACACCTGACCCTCAAAGTTTATGAGATCGTAAATCCAATATAATTTCGCAGACACGACTGTTCAACAAGGACGCTTTCACCGATTCCAGTTTGGGTAGCTATATTACTATCTAATAATCTAAGATCTGTCGCCGGCTTAAATGCGCTTTAGCTCAAGTGTTAAATTCGTCACAAGTGGTTGTTCAAAAACGGGTTCATCAAATGTAAATTTGTTAAGTAAATTGTATGCAACTACAAATCTAAATCGGCTCCAATATCGACTGACGCAATATCCAGCCTGATCGTACTTTCGGTGCTTCACACGGCGGCGTCGTGATAAAAACGTCCGACCATGCTGATGATGATAATAAAGCCTTGATGATTAAACCAAGTTGATTCTCTATTTACGTGCATTGGTCATAGTCTTCTCACGGTAGAACTATTTCTATATACCATCCACAGAAATGCAGAGGCTTGACGGCTGATGGCTGCCAGGCGAGTTAGCACTGCTTTATTTTTAGCCTTCTATGCCACGATGCGCGTGCGTTCGCAGAGGTAGCACAGTGGAGCATCGCTAACGAGAAGAGGCAGCTTATAAGAGTAAAGGGGCTGCCTTGTGTCGTGAGCTACGAAGCTTCGGGCTGTTGGTGTATTCACGGTAAAGTGCTACGCGCTGTAGGACACACAGCACATAGCAGTGCTTCCGAGGATCGCCATACAGAGAGAAGATTTTGGGCGGGCATGAATGTTGGCCTTTTCCCCTGCTACTGCTGTTGATGTTACAACGTGCAATCTTTTTCCAATTTTATATCAAGCGCTGATGGCAGAATCTTCTATAGAAACAGGCGCACCTTTGCGCCGCCTACGACGAGTGTTGCCTGCTCCTTAGCATTTACCACAGACTTTTACGGTGGCGCTGGCTGCTTCCGTTGGTGGTGGCTGGGGCCACCAAAGCCTTCTGCCCCGTGCACTCTGTTTGCAGCGTCGTCTCAGAACGAAGAAGCGAGGAATATGCAATGAATCCGCAATCAGTTGCAGTTCGTGTTTTGTTCCTTAAACGGGCTCGAATTCGTGGTCCGATGGCTCTGTGCGGCGTTCAGAGTTGCTCTAACTGAAACAAACTTTTTGAAGCATCTTAATTAACGCCCGTTCCTTCGATCCGTTACTTCGCACCACAATACATTTCACAAAGCCCGCGAAAATTTTAAACCTCTCCAAGCAAGTAACGCGTTCGTCGCGATGCTCTGTTCTTTGAGTGCAAGCGGCCATCAGCATTAACCGAGGGGGGTTACTTTTTCTTAGTAGATCTTTCTAGCGTGTTCAAGTTCCCCAGAGGTTACTCCTGCCAGCTCGCGTCGTAGATCCCCACATTCCCGCAGCCACTCCATCATGTCTTTTTTTCTACTTTATTAGCCTAATCTTTGTATGGATGCGACGAAGAGGCCCAGTACATTTTACTATGGCTACGTCGTTCTAGCTACCATTAACTAGGTTGGGTCTCTCCCTCTGGCTTTTGCATCCATTTGCATTGGTAGCGCAATCTTGGTGGGGTCACTGTCAGCTCTAGTGGCAACGGCAGTAGGTACTTGGCGATGCTTCGAGTCGGTTGGAGAAGTGACTTCAAACAAGCGCTAAGGCAACGATACGTTCGTTGTAATGCTTACGCTATGTTCCGCTATGTAGGAAACTTAGCCAACCCGGTAAAGACGCAATAGACGCGAAAACGCGTTACCTACTTGCTGGCAATGCACCGTGCTCCCTTACTACGTATATCATGTCAAATCGCAAAGTCCAGCAGTGCCTACTACCGCCTAGAATTATACAAAAAACATAACAACGTTTTCGCTGGAAATGAGACCTTTAAACCTGCGGCTTTTTAGACTACGGTGGCCGCTACTGGACGTAAATGCAACAGCGTGACGCACTAAATCGTCTTTGCCTTCTTAGTCTTTTATTTATTCATGCGTCCCGCAAAGATCTAGCGCCAGTCACCAGTCCTATGCATTGTAAACGACGGATCTTGAGTTTATGCATCACCGAAGCCACCAAAGAAACCCACTATGCTCTCTAGCTTGGTAGCTCACAGCTTAAAAGTGACAAAGTTGACATTGACGTTTCTATTTGGTAGTCAGCTACTGCGCCGTTGGTGGCGCCGTCTTTGAAAATATAGAGGACGTCACTACAGAAAGAATCCTCAAATTTTTTTACTGCGAAGCGATAGACGAAAATCTGCGCTTGTTATATTAACACTCTTACTAACGAGATCTTCCGCAGTTCCGTTCCTTCGTTTTTTTCGAAGATCGAGAAGATCTACAGTTACTGACGATGCGGCCTGCAAACTGTCTACCCTACGGCAGAACTTCCGTTCCTGCAAGTAGCAAGCGTATTGCTTCCGTAATATTCGACCTTCTGAGTGTCGCGGATCCTGCAAGAATAGCGACTCTTTGCTTGTATACATAATGTACTACGGTCTACGATTATTATTATTATCAAAATCTAAGAGCTAAATTAGCTCATATTAGCTTTGTATGTTACGAAACGTTTTTTGCGATGTAGTTCAGTTAAATATCATTTGTGAAGCGCGCAGTATGCTGTTGGCGCAATTACTCATTGTGACATAGTGTTAGACAATCCCTCCATTATCGCCGCAGCTGCTAATTCCGGTGTTATTTTCCTTATTCAGCTTGTTCGTCATTGTGTTAGTCTTCGTTTTATAACTTTTTTGGGTAACACCCGCTTTGTCCCAGACACCGTAGAGAATACCTGTCCAACAGACGGATCGACTGGTTAGTCCGTCCTTATACCAAAACATTCCCGAGCTTCACACCCGGCTCCATCGTTAAGTATTCCTTCAGACGGCGGTCTCTCCGCATGGAACGACTAGTGTCGATACTAGGATTCAAATAAACGTGTCCCTCAAGTTCAGCAGGCGAACACGATACTCACTAGGCTATCGCGTCCTACGATTATGCCTGGTGATTTTCTGCTTACTGTCATTAGTGAAACAAACCAATCACCCAAAACTCTTTGTTATTGCTGTTGGCATTTATCTACCTTATAGAATGCTATATTTATCAGATAATGCATTATACGGGATAGATATACCGTTAGTGCCGCTTTGACCGCCAGCAATGCCAAACAAATTTTACGTCAAGAACTGTGCCATCATCGTGTCAGAGGGTTGTCGTCGTTGCCAGTAGTCTACCCCTACTGGTACTGACTAGCGGGTTTAAATACCGTTTCCATGGATTAGGCCACTTGAGTCCTGAGAGTTGGTGCGAAGGAGAACATGTTTTTCCTTCGCTGCGTTGGTTATGTAGTGCGGTAGTCAATAAACCGCAGAAAACCTCGGGATAAAGCTTGTTGCTCTTTCTTATCCTTGGCAAACAGCAAAGCTATGATTAGGAAATATTCGGGCAAAAAGATTTGCGAAGGCATGAGAACAAATGGAATAAGAACAGAGATTGAAACGGCGCAAACTGCCAAAGAGCCTAAAGCAATTTCCTGGTTCAGATCTATGAACAATTCTGCCTTCAACCGGGCTCTGTCTAAAGCTGGCTTCTTCCTAAAATCATGAGTTTAAAAAAACCACATCGGTATCCCAAGCTGTAAACTATATAGACTCAAAGCAGCGTCTACTGTAGCAGCGGCAGCACTGGTAGCATGAATAAACCTAGGATCAATGTCATTGTAAGGACCCACATAACACGGGAATATCACTTATCTAAAAAGCAACCGAGCTTGAGGCCTACTACAGTTTTGCGTGCACCAATAGAATGGTCCTGATTGGGTCCTGAAGGACACAAAAACATAACTGAAATTTGTCTCGAAGGTCGGAAAGTACTTAGTGCTTGAAGGCGACCCCTCTCTGCATTTCTCTGAATAAAGGCGTAGACATGAATATAGTAGATGTGGTTGGGAAAACAACGTTTATTTCCTATTGCACTGTCAGTAAAATTGCCATAACAAATGTCGAAATCGCTTACGGTCTGAGAGGGGAAACGGTGTACTCGGTAATGTTCTCTTCGGCATCCCATGAACTAGTTTCAGTTGGCGTTATTTCCATATTGGTTACTATGTCAGTATCAATAGTCTCCCATGAATTAGTATAATCCACCGTATAATTATATACTTGGGTATTATTTGGCTCGTACGGCCGCTCTATGGATACTATCACGCTGTAGCACAGATATATGCTAAATATGACAGTAATTAGCAGAATCCACGATATACACTCCGGAGTGAGATCTTCTGGTATGCACTTCGTAATCGTATCGTATTTGTTAGTAACGGATCTGTCTGTCGAGTCAGAATTAATTCGAATAGGGATCTCAGAAAATGAGCAAATTGCCGAAAGTCTGCTTAAAATGGGGTTGCTCGGAGGTACTTTAGTATTGTTAGCTCTGGTCAAACATATGTTCGGCCTAGTTTCGTAACTAGTCTCCAATAAGGCCTTTTCTTGCGTTTGAAAGACAGCATGCTTCGGGAAAGTTCTCATCTGATAAAGATCACTGTGTTATTATACGTTGCTAATGGAAAACTACGAAATGTATATTGCTTCGTCTACTGGCTGTATCTACTAAAAAATCATTTCTCATTAGCAGCAAAGAAGATTGGTGTGGCATTATCACTCACGTAAGCCTTAACTAAATGTGGTAACGTACTGAGCTCTCCGCTACCTATCCGGCAAGCCTGATCAGGAAAATGAACAATTTAAATTAACGAACGTTTATCTCTACGGTATCATGCGGAGCGTACGCGATTGAGCTACGTTTTGACACGTGAACCGTACTGTTACTGAAGCAATTCTATATATTAAACATTATTGCGCTTCAAATGTGCTCATAGTCTACGTGGGCTACCCAAAGTAAAATGTCACTCTCTACGTGAGCAGTCGCCAATAGAGACGATAGGCCAACACAACCAGCTTTGACAATAGTCACCAGCTCAGAATGAATCCACATGTCTGCCATAGGTAGAATTAATCTCACTGAAAAAACAGTCCCCACCAAAAGTCGCTAAGAATCCACCATAAATCAACAAAATCTTTTCCATTTGAATAGTACTTTCATTATATGCAACGCTAAGGACATCGTAGTGTAACTATGCGCTTCTCTGATAAGCGTCAATCACCGACGTATCCGAATGCCGCTTTTAGCCATTGGCAATAGCACAAATACATGTCAAAGCCATCCAAGCTGTTCCACAGCAACAGCCTAGGACCGGTTATAATTTTACATTAGTTTCAGCTTAAGCGCTCACTCACGTTCGCACCCAAGCTTCAGCATCCAAAAAATCCACTTCGGAGCAAAGCAAACGTGGGGTATTCACCATCACCGCCGCAATGCGATGATAGCGATATATCAAAACCAAAATGTTCTTACATGAGAAATCGGTTGGCGGCGCTTCATCGAGACAACATCATCACGGTCACCGGATGTTAGCTGGTGTGTCGGACCAGATGATCTTAAGCTCTATCAGGTGTCTTCCCACCTTGAAATCGGACACTGCGCGCGCGCTCACCCGCTCCCACCCCACACACGCGACTAGCACAAGTACGACCCCTTGGAGGTTGGTCTCGTATCGCTGGTCGGGGGTATCTCTCTTTTCCCCAAAACCTTAATATGTTTATGTCTATCAGTTCTCTCTTACAAGCAGCAACAGCGTCATGTGCGCCTCTATCATTCCATCCGATAAAGCCGAACTAATCAAAGGAGGGACATTGTACCCCCCAAAACAGGTGGCAGAGGCCCAACCGCCCCCGTACTTCGCTCCACCTTCTGGGCTAAAAATACGGGTCTGGTAATAACAGACAGGTTATGCGCAACTTGGGTAATCTAATCTGTTTCAGTTTGCTTGATGATCAAATAGAATTCGGCCAAACTTTCTTTTACCATACTGGAATGGATATCAGAATACAGAATTCACTGATACTAACGATCGAATAGTTCCTGAAGCGTCTGGTTATGGCTATCTATGTCTGACGACCTCCGAGGTTAGAAGTTCGCAAATTCATTACTCGTACGTTATACATAGAAATTTGTACATTGAACGCATTTTTCCATAGCTACATATGTATATACGGTGTATAGTGTCCTTCGTGTCCATCGTATGAGGTCTTTTCGAAAGAAAATAATATCTAGAATAGAAATGAGCCTACTTATTATTCTTGAACAGATAGGTGCAGCAACTAAGCTGGAGTAGTTGCCCTACGGACATTACGTTGACTGTGGTATTTGAAAGCTGAGGAACTATTACGTTGTCTTCATTCGCCATCGTTCTTCTCCACCGTGAAGCAGTCTTCTTGCTTGTTTCTTTTGAAAAGTTTAAAAACGCCTTGCTACTGCGTCTGTTGCATGTAATCTGTTGGTGTCTCTATGGCGGGCTGACGTGGGCAAGTGGGATGTTCTGCAGATAACGGCAAACCTGAAAAATGGAACCAACTCATCTGTTGTTTTTTCTTGCTGATTTATGAAGTCGACAGCAGTAACCGCTGTGGATATAGCGGAAGCAGTAGCGTTGCTATGAGGAAGAAAGCGCGTACGTACATACACATAGCTCTATGAACTTAGAGATATATCTTTGAAATGACAGTACTTTAATTGGATACGATTCGAGCATTAATGACAAAGTTAAATGAATCACGGAGATAGGCATGTAGCAAATAAGACGTATCTGCAAAAGTTCAAACATGTTACGTCAGCATGAGATCAGAACAAGCCGGATCATATACGTAAGCATAGTTTATGGGCCACCAGGTCAATCCTACGCCTCTACATCTATAGAGATCATTGATCTTAAGAGTAGCCTGTGTTGCTTTCCACGCATACGTTCCTTTGCTTCAACATTCTGATTTGACCTTTTTTCAAGATGGTCACACGTACGCTATCGTTCCCGCGTATCCCCTCGGCCCTCAAACATCTCTTCTTATAAGGCACGTCGTCAATAATGAATTTTTCTTAGCATCTTAACACCTAAGCCGAACGGTTTTTTCTGCGAGTACGTACTATTTTCTATCCTCTTTTACCTATAGGCGTGGTCCTTTGCCGTACGGAAGAGATATAATTAGCGTAATCGATTTTTCTCTTTTGTTATAATGTCGGCTGCTCACTAAGCGTTGTGACGCGACCGAACTGTAGAAGCACTCTCCAACCACCTACCTGACAACGGTTTCTAATAAAACCTATCAGAAAAAATAGTCAAAACTACAATAAAAGTAATCAAGCCATTGCTGTCCAACGAAGTTCTTTCTATACGACGGGTTAGCGCTTTCTTGTCCCCTGTTCTATGGACAAAGCGAACCTCTCCTACAATTCGTCCTGCTTTTTTTTTGTGTTTAACGTATAGAATACGTTCTATAATCTTTTAAAAAACGATAGAAAATTAGGACGCCCAGCGTCAAAACGATAGCGTAGTATACTTAAATCTCCACTCAGCAAAGATCGATTGTTTGTAATGATACATCAACACACGCTGCTTTTATATGCTGCAATCGTTTATATGGTTCGTCCCGTCGTGGCGGCGCTACTGCTTCAAGTAAGAGGAATAACAACATCGAGGACCAAAATGAGGAGAGCCGATATCTTCGTACGTATATAGATGTGACAGTAAATATTTGCCTGTTTAGTCTTTCGCTATTAGAGTTTACTTTAAGCAGTTAGGGTTATTACAATGGTAGCCACGATTCCCTGTTTGTTGTCCTGTCGCTTCGTTTCACTATCAGCTAAGTGACTGTCAGATTCGGCTGACAATTTTTCCTGAGTAGGTCGTAAGCAGTAGAATAATCGCTACGACGACGACGGCGACGATAACGAATCAGAACGCCGAAAAAACGTCGCAGTCTATACCAACACCGAGTGCAATTAGCGGCTTACACGACGAAGTGCTTTGCTACGATGTATGCGCAGCGCTATATTTTGTATCGTAAGCAAATTTTCGTCATGGTCTGTATTGCTAATTGATAATGTATCCATCAAGTGCCTTTACTATTATTGCCATTGACGTTACTGTTTACCATTCGACCAACCCGAAACACTGGAAGTATATCTCGAATGGGTCGTCAGGTGCATCGTAGAAGGACCGTTTATAGAGCCGTTTATAGAAACGTTATAATATCTTCAGATTGAATTTGTGCATTGTACATATTCATAAATAGAATATCAATTGTTCGCATGAATTCTACTTAATAATAAAGTTTAACATGATCTATGTTTCAGTCGTTCTGCCGTGCGTACGAATATCCGTCATCATACAGTGGGCATCTACAAAAGCCCCCTAGTAAAACGGTCCTTTGATTATTAGGCGATATTATCTATACGTAGGACCTTCTTGTAGAATAGTATTTCTCTATTCTATCTTAGCTGAGTAATTTGTTAGGGGAGTGAACTAGGTAGGCATTTAGTTTGTGAACTATCCGGTACACCCGGACGCATTTCCCGATTGGTCCATCGTGTGGTTTAAATGTTGGACTATCAACCATTATTAGTACTGGTCTAACCGTGACCACTGAAGAGAGATCTGCAAGGCTCGAAAAAACCTGTCGTATTACTTCGAAATCGAGAAAAGGAAATGAGTTAGCGAGGTACCGTTTACATCTTTTTTGCTTTAGGGTCCACGTAGGGTTTTCGACTCATCGTCGTATTCTACATTCCAGCCTCCCCTTCCCCCTTCCGATCTTTCGCATTACTTTTATGACTCGACCATGCCTTCAACAAGTACTTCTGCTGCAATCTAGTTCAGGTTCTTGCCGCTACACATTTAGCGCTACGCAATGAAAGATCGCATGCTTAATTCCGCGTTCTTCTCTAGGTACGCCGAGAGGGTACAAGTAGCCGCCTGTGATTTGCCAATTGTCGCCTTAAACGTCCGAAACTGGCCGTCACCGGCCAGGACTTCGTAAGAGTGCGGAAGCTTTTCGTGTGACTGGTCATACCATGTGGCGACGTTCGGAGTCAGGGTGTATATCGATAGATCTGGTCGATCTAAGGGACGCATTTTGCCCCCATAGTTCTTGCCATTTCCCCAGTGGCGTACTATAAAGTCCAATTCCATCTTGAAGTAGCGCTAAGCTTTTTCTTTAGCCGATAGGTCCCATGGCGGCATTTTCGCTAACGCTAGGATGGGTTTCGTACAGACTATTTGGAACGCTTGGGTATTCTGATTGCTAAGACTTTATGCAAAGAGTAGAGTCTGTCTATTTGTCTTTGCTATATTGGCTCAGGCGAGGACAGTGCTAAATGCAGAAGGTTCAGCTATTGTTGCCGGTAGGCGTCTTACACTTTCCAAGGGCCCTCCTACCTGGGCATTAGCTTCGTAAGATTCAGGGCGCTGCATATTCTACAGGTGCGTTTGTCCTAAGTCATGTATTGGGGTTCAATATACCTGAGTTTTTTTTTTCTAGGACTTTTAATAGGACT